TGGTGACGCCGCGGGGGGCCGAGGCGGGCTTGGTGGGAGCGGCGGCTTTGAAGGCGGCGGCGGGGAGGGCGGGGAGGGGTCGGAGGCCGGCGGCGGCGGCGACGGCTTCGGTTGCGGGGATAGCGGCGGCGGCGGCCCGGCCGGTGGCGGCGTGGATGGCGCGGGCAACGACGGTGGTTCGGGAGGGTGCGGCTGCCACCACGGGGGTGGTGGCGCCGCTGGTGGTGGCGGCGTCGCTGGTGGTGGTGGCGCCAGAGGGGGCGGCAGCGGCGGCGGACGAGGTGGCGGCGTTGGCGGCGGAGACGGTACGAGCGGTGGGGGCGTGACTGGTGGCGACAGAGGCGGCGGCAGCGACGGCGGCGTGATTGGTGGCGGCGGCGTTGGCGGCGGCGGGGGCGGCGCGGCTAGAGGCGAGGGCGAGAGCGGCGGCATGCCGGACGGCGGCGGAGGCGTGGGCGGCGAGGGCGGCGAGGGCGGGGGGAAGATACAGTGGTGCTCCACGGCGCCGTCGACGCACTGCTGCCAGGAGGCGCCCCTCTCGTGCTTGCAGATGTAGAAGACGGTCCCGTCCGAGTGGTACGCGCTCTCGCAGAGAGCGGCGTCGCGGTCGCGCGCCGGCTCCTCGCAGCGGGCCTGCGGGGGCGAGAGAGGAGGAGGTCGAGAGGACTCTGAGAGGGTGTCGAGGGGGCTAGTGAGTGACGGGCCTGCGGAGGCGAGAGTGACCGCAGGTTGACCCTGCCGATCAGGGAGGCGCAGCCGACCATCTAACAAGGAGGAGGGGAGGGAGGAAGGGTGGAGCGTGCGAGATGGAGAAAGGAGGACCGTCGTGAGCGAGGCTCGCTCTCGCACCGGAAGCGATGCCCTGGCGGCCCTCGCAGCCTTTGCTGCTTCAAGCCTTGCTCTTGCCGCAACCGGTGGAGAGGGCGGCGGCAGGTGCATCCACCAGAGTATCGCCGGGTACGCCCCCCCTACTGCCGGTGGCGGCGCTGGCGTCAGCCCGTGGAGCGTCGTCGCTGCTGGCGGTGGCGGATGCGGTGACAGCCAGTAGAGCCCTACGGGCGGCGGCGGCGGCGGCGGCGGCGGCGGTGGCGGCGTCAGCTGCACTTGTGGGGCCGGCATCGCCATCTTGATGTAGCACTCGGATCCAAATAATGGGGTGGCGCGGAGCACGTCGGACGAGTACGACTTGCAAAGTGTGTACTTTGTCAAGCGCGAGTGCTCAAACGCTTTGCACCACACTCCGCTGCCGCACAGCCTGGCGCACACGTCGAGCGGCACGTTCCAGCGCGACGTCGGGCTGGAGCCGCCGTGCGAGTGACAGCCGCCGCCGGGACGGGGCCTGGCCCAGAAGTATCCGCCCACGAGCTCCATCTCGGGTGTTTTCCGACGACACAGGGTGAGACGGGGTCGTTGTTACGCGTCACCGACCTTTTTTTTAGACGCTCGCGCCGGCCCGCGGCGCCTCCCGCTGACGCTTCTTCGCGCTCGATGTGGCACTCGAGAGCAGGCTGCGCATCGACGCGAGCTGCGCGGGCGGCGGCGGCGCGGGCGGTGGCGGCGGCGCCGCCGCCGCCGCCGCACCGCCGCCCTTGGCCTTGGCCTTCGGCGGCCCGCCCTCGGCTGGCAACACGCAGAACCAGCTGCTGCCCAAGAAGATCGAGGCCTTGGCGGGGCAGCGCGTCGTCGCTGTGTCGGCTGGAGGCGGCCACAGCCTCGCCCTCACCGCCGACGGCAGTATCTGGAGCTGGGGCAATGGAGTCTATGGCCGGTTGGGCCACGGCGACCAGCAGCACCAGCTGCTGCCGAAGAAGATCGAGGCCTTGGCTGGCCAGCGCGTCATCGCTGTGTCGACCGGAGGCAACCACAACCTCGCCCTTACCGCCGACGGCGCCGTCTGGAGCTGGGGCGGTGGAGGCTTTGGCATGCTGGGCCACGGCGACCATCAGGACCAGCTGCTGCCCAAGAAGTTAGAGGCGTTTGCTGACCAGCGTGTCGTCGCTGTGACGGCTGAAGGCTTCCACAGCCTCGCCATCACCGCCGACGGCGCCGGCTGGAGCTGGGGCAGTGGAGTCTCTGGCAAGCTGGGCCACGGCGACCAGCAGTACCAGCTGCTGCCGAAGAAGATCGTGGCCTTCACTGGGCAGCGCGTCGTCGCTGTCTCGGCTGGAAACTTCCACAGCCTCGCCCTCACCGCCGACGGCGGCGTCTGGAGCTGGGGCGATGGAGAGGATGGCACGCTGGGCCACGGCGACGAGCAGATGCAGCTGCTGCCCAAAAAGGTCGAGGCCTTGGCTGACAAGCGCGTCGTCGCTGTGTCGGCTGGAGCCATCCACAGCACCGCCCTCACCGCCGACGGCGCCGTCTTCACGTGGGGCAGGGGCGAACACGGCTGCCTAGGCCACGGAGAGGACCTGTCGAACCACAGTTGCTGCCCAAGAAGATCGAGGCGTGGGCACCAGGAGCGGGGCGGTAATGTGAAGGGACAAGGCGGTGCGCGCCGGGCCGCGGGCGAGCCCGCCTGCCCGCCGCGTCGAAGAAAACCCGCAAAGTTGAACTAGGTCAGGTAGTGAACATCGCTCGCGCGGCGAAAAATAAACGCGCGGCTCCGTCGAGGACCGGGCGCGAAATATGAATAAAAATAAAAATTGTTACGTGATAAAAAATAGAGTTCGGGGGCCCCAATGCCCGCAACCCGATCCCGATCATCTGGCCCGCTGGCACACTGAAAGAAAGACCACCGGTGAGTTGACGACACACTCCCAGACGCCCGCCGATGAAGCCGGGTAGTGTGTATGGAGGAATGGTAACGAGCGAGGACGCCTCTCCGGATTGGTTGAACCCGGGCATCGTCGGTGGGAAGAGGGAGGACACCCCCCCCCCTATCCCTCAGTTCAATCCCCGAGAGGAGAGGCAGAGCCTCTGGCGCGGTGAGACCACCCGTAAGCTCTCAAGGCCGCACCCGCACCCCCCCTCTTCAGTTCAGATCACAAGCGGCGGCGGCGCGCGCGCACACACAATCACAAAGACGCTGCCCCCTCACACCCCGCACCGCACATCACACACCCCTCGTGGCCGTTCTTCAGTCTGCCGCCAGGGCGCGCTGCACCGGGCCGACCTGCGGCCGTCGCTACGAGCGGCGGGGCTCAACGCGGGGCAGCGCGCCGACGACGTCGAATGCGCCGCCGAATTCTAGGGTACCCAACTCTGGGCCGGCGCGGGGGCCCCAGAGGGTGTCCATGCGGGGGGGAGATGGGGTCCCATGGCCCGCCGCAGGCGCCGATTTTTTCGGGATTTTTTTTCTTTTTTTCATAGAAATCCTTTAGTTTTGAGCTTAGCCTTCGATGTTATGAAACAACGCAAGGCGGACATGGCATATCGCTCTCGGGCCCACAGTTTTACGCTGCATTTGGACTGTGGCTTGCGTGGGTCCTAGCGATCTATCTGGGTCCTATGGGGCGCCCCTCGCTGGCTTGCATCCTGGCTGCGCAGGTGGTGCTCTTCCTGACTTTGGTTTTGACGTTGATGCGAATAGACTTTGTTGAATCCTCCAAGCAGCAGGCGTGTGGATGGTTTGCTCCGAATCTCACCGCCGGCGCTGTAGTCGAGAGCATGCCCGTATGGCTTCAGCAACAAAATCTAACGCCAGACGCGGAGATTCACTCGCTCCTCAGCCTCTGTGCATCAGTTGAGACCTTTGTGAACTGGCCCCTCATTTGGGAATTGAGGTGGGCCTTTGTGCCAGCATTGTCGGTGAGCGTCTGCTGCACCGTCCAGCTTTTCCAGTTCACTTTGCGATGCATGCGCGAGGAAGAGGAGGAGGAGGAGGAGGAAAGCGAGGGGAGAGGGAGCCCAGAGCCTACTCATGGCGTGCCGGTTGAGCGCGGTTCGCCTCTGCTTGACAACCCCAACATCCGCTTTGACATCGTGCACGGCCGACGAGAGCCTCTCCATCACCGCGTCCGCGTTCAATCTTACACTCCAGACCATGCGCTGCGCGCTACCCCCCCCCCCCCCCCCCCGCACACAGCTCACTCGAGGCCGACGGCGACTTTGGCGGCGGCGCGGCGGCGCGGCAGCGCGGCGGCGCATCCAACTAACTCGCAACTTTGGCGACCTCATTTCTTATCATTCATGAATTTTTCTAACTCAGCTTTTGTCATCGTCAAACCTGCCCTATCCAATAACGAGGAACTCTTATCATTCATGAATTTTTCTAACTCAGCTTTTGTCAGCGTTTCAGTACCAGTGTTTGTGTTTGGCTGGAGAAACACATACCTCTTTATCGTTCGAGTTCCTTCCAGTTCCTTGCAGCCGCCCTCTGCTGGGGGACATTGATGGAGGTACAGTTCCTCACTATATTTCTCTCCGAGCTCTTCTCTTCCATGTAGCGGGAAAACTCGACCAATAAACTCCGCAATTTGCTCGCGTTCCATATCAGATCTCAACTTAAAGAGAGTGTCATATAACATCTCTGCAAGAGTTCCGACGACGCCCCGTCCGGCACGCTCCCCCCTCCACTCGGCTATTGCCGCACGAGCGCCCTCAGCGGCGGAATTTTTCCCTCGCGCTTCCTTGGGCCCCCGGCAACGCCGACGGACTTCCCGTCCCCCCACCTGCGCCGCAATCACCGCCGTGATTGTCGGCGCCGCGCCCCTTGGCATGTCCCGCGTGCCCGCCCGCCAAGGCTGGTGCCAAGGCCAACTCAACTGCCAAGGCTGGTGCCAGGGCCAAATCAACTGCCTGGCTGGTGCCAAGGCTCAAAGGCTCTCCTCTCTCTCTGCTCGCTCCGCCCTCTCCCTCCCTCCCTCCAGATTGTCTCCGGTGGTCCCCATCCGAGGCGATTGCGAGGGCATTCCGGAGGTAATCATCGGCGCCATCGACCGTGATATGCCTCGTCCCGCAGCCCTCATGCACTAAGTGCATGCATGCAGTCATAATATGTAGGCCTTCGGGCGGCAAGAAACCCAAGGGTGAACCAAAGGAGGGCCAACAAGGGCCGACAACCCAAAGCGGCCAGCCCCGGCCCACACTGTAACCGGGAAAATGCCCTTCCCCTCCTCCGCCCCCGTCGATGCCGTGCTCACGACTGCATACGGCGACGACGCCGGCCTCCACGGCCTCAGCACCGCGGGCCACAACGCGGCATTGACACCGGCAGAGGTTTTGCTCGAGGAGGCGGAGCGGCACGACTTTCAATACGGCGAGGTGCTCCCCGCGGGCGTGCGCAAGGCTCTCGGCGAAGCGCACCTCGACGCGCAAAGCGGTCGCTCGCTGGTGGAGCTCGGTGCGGGGACAGGCAAGGTCGCGCTGCAGGCGTTCCTCGAATGCCCCAGCCTGCTACGCGTCACCGCGGTGGAGCTGGCCGCGGCGCGCTACCGAGTGGGCGAGGCGGCGCTGCTGCGGCTCTGTGAACGGATTCCCGAGCGCTTTTCGCTGCTGGCGCACGCACCGGGCGCATGCGTGCGGATCAGCGAGCGACCTCCCGCGGCCGACACGAGTGCGCATCAGCGCGAGGGCTCCTCACGAGAGCTGGAGCTCTCCGTCGGCGATGTGTTTGAGCTGGGAGCGGCGGCGCGAGCCGCGCTCGCCGAGGCAGACGTGGTCTTCTTCGAGGTCTGCTTGCCTCGCACCGCCGAGGCGGCGGCGCGCGGCCTGGCGCTGCTGCGCTCGACCAAGGCCGGCAGCCGCGTCCTCTCCTACGAGGCGCTCGAGGCGCTCGAGGAGGAGGCGGCGGGCGGGAGCACGGCGCGCGCGCCGTGCCGGCTGCGGGGGCCGGAGCAAGCAAGCCAGCGCGGCGTGACCCTGCGGCCTCGTGCCGCTGTAGGTGTGCAGCCCAAGGGCGCACCCGCGGGTCTGCGTCGGGGACGACGGCGTCGCGGCGCACGCTGCGCACAGGCCGAGCGCGCAAAACCCGTTTGTGCGCAGGCCCGCCAACGCCTCGCTCGGCGACACGTTCGCCGCGTCGTGGGCGCCGGAGGAGGGCTACCACTTTCACTGCTACACACACGGGGGAGGGCGAGTAACCAGTAACCCCCTCCCGCGTAAATGAATAAAAATAAAAACACACATACCTCTGTACTGTGAGATGGGGGTAAAAAGGAACGTTATGAACAGACCCCCGCCCGTGCGGCGATCGCTTTGTGCAGGGTTCTTTGTTAGAGTTTTGTGTAAAATAGTTAGAGGCTGCGCAGGCCGGCCCGTCGCTGCATGTTTGCATAAAAACGCCCCGCGCGGGGCCCTGTCTCACGTGCCGCAAAATATGTGTCACACACGGCGGCTTCTGCCACCTCTCGATTGGTTCCACTTTCTACGCACACCTACCGGGGAAGGGGCGCTTGGGAGCGGGGGCGGGGGCGGGGGCGGGGGCGGGGGCGGGGGCGCGCAGCGCGCGCGCGTGTGCGCAACAGAGGGTGTAGGGGTGGGGAAGACGGCGAGGAGGGAGCGGCGGCGGCGGCGGCGGCGGCAGCGCGCGCGCGGCGCGCGCGACGGAGGGGCGGAGCAGCGACCGCTGGCGCGGTCGCTGCTCCGTCTTGTGCCAGAGACGCGCGCTCTGCCAGAGCGCGCGTCAGGCAAGGGTGGGCAAGTGTGGCGGCGCGGGACGCGCGGCGGCGGCGGCGAGCAGCCGAGCGCTCCGTGCGCGGTGAGGCGGTCGGGCGAGGGCGCGGCGGGTGACGGGGCAAGGGAGCAGCCCACACCCGGCCGTCGCTTTGAGCGAGGTCGAAGGAACGCCTGCGCAGGCGCCGCAGGGCGGTCAGTTGTGGGGCGAGGCGGTGCCGGCCGCGGGCCGGGTGCAAGGCGCCGGCCTCGGCGCCGCCTCGGCGCGCCGCACGGGCGCGGCGAGCCTCTGATCGGGCCTTCGATATTAGCTGCGTGAGGGCACTCGACAGTAGCTCGAGCGGAACGTAGATCTAGAGCTCTATGAAATCCTCCTCCTCCTCGATAAAGGACCGGGAGCCGTTGTGGCCACGCGCGTGTGCTTCACCTGCTGTGCGTGCTGCGTGCGCCGAGTGTTTGTCGTCGCACGCGTCGCGCTGCGGCATGAAATGGAAGTCATTTGGTGAGCTCCACTTGGTGGCGGCGCGAGCCTCGAGCGCAGTCACAAACTCCGCGAAGGAGGCATTCGTCCAACCATTCGCATCGTGCGGCCGCACGCGCTGCAGCTCGCGAAAGTCGCGCGACATCCGGAACGCGCGCATGATCTGTATGTACGAAGAGACCACGCGGTCAAAAGGTGAGCGAATAAGCTTGATGCATGTCCAGCCCGAGTCTGGCGTGCAGACAACGGTGCAGCTCGCCCGGCGGTGCTCGCTCATCTTGGAGAGCACCTGTTCTCGAAACGCATGGAGGTTGCACACGGGCACAATCTCAGCGGCGACCGATGTCTGCGACTCATAGCGCGCTTTGCAGGAGGTGGATGGAGGAGAAGTTCACGGCTGCGTCCAGCTGCCCCCACGCACGCGCAGTGCTAGCTGTGTGGCTAGGGTGGCTCCTCCCTTGGGAGTCGCCAGCAGGAGCAGACGCTGCGGCCAGCTCGCGAGCGCGATGCCGTGGCGTTGCGGCAGCTTCTCGCACGATTAACCCTCCTACGCAGATACGACAAGCGCCGGGCGACGACGGCTTACCGCCTCCCGGTCCCCCTCGGCACACCTCCGCTGCTCAATGTTTGACGGCTCGAACCCGTGAAGCTTCCCCGTGCGCGGGTTACCCCGCACACGGGTCAGCCTGCCAGCCACGTATCCACGCAAGCGTGGTCCGCGTGCATGGCATACAGGCGTCCGCCAGACAGCGCAGAGGCTAGGCGACCGGGGAAGGACTAGCTCAAGGGCAACACAGCGTCACCAGCCGTTGGCGCGCAGAACGAGTCTGCGGCCCCCGGTTGGGACGAGTGCGCGACGCGGACGAACCGCTCAATGTGGCCGGCAGCTCGCGCTGCCGGCGGGGTTGGTTGGGGAGAACCGGCACGGGGATGGCCGGCCTCCCCGGAGGGGTCGCCCCCTGGAGGGGCCCCAAAGGGCCCCCCGGGGGGGCGGGGTCCCCCGCCCCGAGGGGCGGGGGCGGGTCCTTCCGTGTCGCTCCCCTCGTCGGGAGTGTCCGTCGGGATGGTGTTGTCCGCCCACTCGGCAGCGTTTAAATAGGCCTTTAACCCTGGTAGGTGGATTGTCCAAAATACGTCAGCCTCGCACGCCTAGCGCTACCTAGGTAGGTCTGACACCCGACCGCCCCCCCCTCCCTAATAATATTAACCGGTCAGAGTACATTTTGGCCGGCTAATGTTAGGGAGGGGAGGCCGAAAAACGCATATTTTTGTCCACCTACCAGGGTTAATCAGCTGGACCGAATTTTACCAAGTTGGACGCCGTTGGACGTATCCAGTGTTCACTGTCTACGTGTAGCGACGGGCGCTGCGCGATAGCTGCTTTGTGGGTCCCGTGAGCCATGCCGGCTACTGTCCACCATCGATACACGGAGAACCGCTCGCACGAGTCAGCCCAGAGGCGATCGATGGGCGGGAGAGGCCTCTGGCACGGACATACAGCTCGGGCCCGACGGACGGCGCGAGGGGGCGATCTCGCGCGGTCCAACTTTGGCCTGTGTGAGGGCGTGAACAGGGGAAAAGTCGCCCTGGTTTTCTTTTTTACTATGTAAAGGCAGGCTTCGCAGAGGGGAAATCTGTACTCTCTTCTGTACTTTGAGGACGGGTACTTACAATATATAACGTCCCCAAAGTACAGCAAAGAGTACAAAAATTCTTCGAGGTTCACCTCGGAAGCCCTGATAAATGAATTCTTGGAGGTCCACCTTCAAGCCCTGATAAATGAAAAACCCGTGCCGCGGCCGGCGCCCATGCCGAGACCGCTAACTCGAGCGAGCCCAAGCAGCGCCGGACGCTCCTCTCCACCGTGATGCTCCTCGCCATCATCGTCACCACGACGTGGCTGCGGACGGGCGTCGCCCACGACATCGTGCGCCCGCTCTCCAACGTCGCCGAGATCCCTGCCTCGCCTGCCAGGAGCGGCGTCAAGCTCATCGCTGGGCAGGTGCGCGGGTAGAGCTCTCCACCATACTCTGCCGCGATCCCGGCTGCTGCGAGCACGGCGCCGCCCGGTGCGCGCGACATGACCCCTGCCGTTCCCGCGCACGCCGGTCGCCGAGGAGCACGTGGAATGCCAATGCGAAAACACGACGAATGTGCGCGCGCCTGCCGCCGCCATGCAGCCCTGCCCCTCCCCGCCGTCGATTTCGTCGCCGTCCGTGCGCGCGCCGCCGTTCACTCCGCCGCCGCCGTCGCCCCCACTTCCGCCGCCCCCGTTTTGCGCCTCGCCGCCGCCGCCGTTCTCCTTTTTCCCGCCGCCCGCGCTTCCCTCAGTCGCGCGCGCGTGCGGCTCGCCTGCGTCGCTGCCGCCCCCCCTCTGGCCGCCGCTCCCCTCACAGCCTCGTACAAGGGTGCCGCCGTCGGCGCCACAGCCTTGGCTCGCCCAAACGGTGACCCTCCCCCATCCCCCTCGGTTCGCCCCACCTTCTTCAGAACCAAATCCTCACCCCCCCCCCCCCACTGCGCCCCGAATCAGGTGCCATCGCCACGTTTCCGTCGGATGAATTATGTGGAATCGTACCCCTCGGTGGTTTCCAAACCTATTCAAAAATGGACGCTTACAGAAATCGGCAAAAATTCAACCGTCACAACAACATCATTGCGAGAGACGATGGTCCGGACATCGGCGATATCGACTTCTCGACATCTTCGTCAAAGGCTGAAGACGAGGGTGTGAGTGACTCCGATACTGAGGAAGAGGAAGAGGCGGGGTTCAGTGAGCAGGAGGGTGGTGGGAATGACGCTGATGGGGATGACTGGGAGTTGCAGGTCGACTGGGAAATGGCTGCTGGTGGCGAATCAGAGTGCGACGAACCCTGCCCTTCGGATTGTGAATTGGACCAATCCGATAAACCTCCTTTTCCCGGAGTGGTTCGATCCCACAAGGTCGTCGCAAGCATCTTGTCACATGAGCTGCGCTCATCTGTCGTCAAGGATGCCGCCCTTCTGATCGCACGTATCCTCCTCATTGTGGCGGTGGCCGCGCGTGTTCCATGGCTCAAATGGTACGCGTTCACGGCCGCGGAAAACGTCTTTCGGATTGTGTCCGTGGTGAGCATGCTCACGCTAGCTACACCGTCGATGGCGGGGATTCTCGCCTTTGTCTCCTTCGGTTTTGCCTTGATCGGTTTCAAGCAGGGAGCAGTCGTTTTCAAGCTTGCGGCATGGCTGCTGGTTGTTCAGAGCAACAGCGATCGCCCGTGGATGAGCATCAACGCGGAGTTTACTTATCTGCTGATCGCGAAGTTGGCGCTTTACGAGCTGCACCGGCTTGTTGCAGCCGTGGCTCGCCGGGTGAAGGTCCTTTGCCTGCCGTCCTCCCCTCCCCACTCTCCTACCCCTCTCTCCCTCTCGATCTGACAAACACATACACACGATATACTGGGCTAGCCACGTAGCCGCACGCATAATTGTCACGTTTTAAATCGCGGCGCGTAGCGATGTTTTGTCTTTTGAGAAGTGATGTAGTGTCGAGTAAGTGATGTAGTGTTGACACTCGGGCAAGATGCACTAGCGACGAGCCACTAACTGATAGTGGCTCGTCGATAGTGCGTCAGGTCGTACCGGGACGCGGGAGGCGGGGCGGAAGCGATTGGCGCGCCAGCGCTTCATGCGCGCGCAATGAGACGCCGCTGCGCTTCACGGCGGCCTGGCCCGCGCGGCGCACTCGCGCTACGCCTACGGAGCCCGTCGCTGGGCGGCGCGGGCCAGGGGGGCGAACACCTAGACGCCGCCACACAACCAGCCGGGCGAGGAGCGAGCAACCCCGCCGCCGCCGAGCGACGCGACACGCGCGCGCGCGAATCCGAACGAAATGTGATGCGCCGGGCGATCCCGGCGCGCCGCGCACGCCTCGCGCCGAGGGGGCCCGCGGCGGGGCGGCGGCGGCGGCGGAGCCGCGGCGCCGAAGCCTATGGAAAATCCGCCCGCGACTTGGGTCGGCGCGGAAGCAGAACCCCGCGCCGCCATGTGTGCTAGGCGGTGAGCCAGTGTAGAGGTGGTCCTGGGGCGAGGGGGGCGAGTGGGGCAGTGGCCGGTGTCTACCGCGGTAGCGTCAGAGCACGGACTAGCTGGCACTCCGGGGGCCCGCGGGGTCTGAGTATGGCGATCTGTGTGGATGTGCGGGTAGGGAGGGCTAGTTCTAGGTGTGGCCTAGCCCTCCGACCAGGTCTGACCGTGCCGCAAAAAGGCGGTCATGTATTCGCACGCGGGGTCGGGGTTCCGCCGGTGTCTACCGCGGCTGAGGCAGAGGCGGCGTGGCTGGTGCTCCGGAGACTCCAGGGGTCGAACGGCGTCGAGATGAGCACAGCGCTGGCTAGGAGGGCGAGGGGGGGGTGTGATCACGCTGCTCGCGGAGCGGCGGTGGCCAGCGGTGAGCTAGTCGGACAGGGGGGGGTCCCGGGTTTGGCAGCTCCGGCGGGTCTCTCGCGCGGGTGAGCCGGGGGGGGAGCGGGGCGAGTGCGAACGGAAAGCCTTGTCGTGCTACTGAGGCCGTGCCGCCGGCCGGAGGGCGAGCCCTGGGTGTGATCTCGAGGTGCGCCGAGCGGTGGGCCGAGGGTGGGAGGTGTGCGGCCGCGGTCGGGCCCGGTGTGTCGTCTCCGGCGGACCAGCCACGCGCAAAGCGTCGTCTACTAGCGCGCCTTGGGCGGGGAAACCCGGCCGCACCGCCGCCGCGACGGCACGCCCGGCACGGCGGGCTCGCCGCACGAAGCGAAGCACCGGCGGGGCGGCGGCGGCGGCGGAGCCGCGCCGCCGAGGCCTAAAAGAGGTGCGCCCGCGCCTTGGGTCGGTCAGACGCGCGCAAAGCGACGTCTACTAGTAGCCCGGAGGAGCGACTCGCGCCAGCGCCGCTACGCAGCACGGCGGCCTGGCCCGCGCGGCGCGCTCGCCCCGCACCTAGGGAGGCGCCGGCGGAGCGGCGCTGGCGGAGAGAGGCGCCGCCTGCATATTCGACCGAGACTCGGGTCACGGCCGCGAGAGCGACGGGGCTGGTTGACGGCCGCCGGCGACCTACCACGGCGCTGCACGCCTTAGAAACGCCGCCGAGAGCCGCCGCCGGCTGCGTCGCGACTGCCGCCGCGCGGCTCGCGGCGGAGGACCCAGCATCTCCGCTCGGCGCCGCCTATATACTCGACCGAGACTCGGGTCACGGCCGCGAGAGCGACGGGGCTGGTTGACGGCCGCCGGCGACCTACCACGGCGCTGCACGCCTTAGAAACGCCGCCGAGAGCCGCCGCCGGCTGCCTCGCGACTGCCGCCGCGCGGCTCGCGGCGGAGGACCCAGCATCTCCGCTCGGCGCCGCCTATATACTCGACCGAGACTCGGGTCACGGCCGCGAGAGCGACGGGGCTGGTTGACGGCCGCCGGCGACCTAGCACGGCGCTGCACGCCGCAGAAACGCCGCCGAGAGCCGCCGCCGGCTGCGTCGCGACTACTGAGCCCGCGCGCCGCGCGCGGGCGAGGGGAGCGGCGACGGGGCGGTGGGCGACGAGCCGCAGCAGCTGCGCCTAAAAATGAGGTGGCGGCGGGAACTAGAGCGTCATCTGCTGCCGTGCGGGCAAGCGATCACCGCCCTCGAGCGCGCCGCGGCAGTAGTCCGTCCGAACCAACGCGACAGCTCGGACCGCGCGCCGTGCTCGCGCGGCGGTGAGGGGGGTGGCGGTGGGCGGTGCCGGCGGCGAGCCGCAGCAGCGCAACGGCAACGCAAAGGCAGCGGCCTGAGAGCGCCGGAGAGGAGGCGCTCAAGAGGTGGCGCACCTCAACAGCGCTCCTCCGGAGCAATCGATTCGGAGACCTCGCCGCCGCCTCGCCGCGCGGCTGAGCCGGCACAACCTTCGGGCCTTCAGGTCTCCACAGCGCCGCCCGCCACAGCGCCGCCCGCCACAGCTTATCAAACCTTGCAAACAACTTATCCACATGCTCTCGAACCAAAATACACAATTCATCATCAGTTGCGGAAGGCTCGAGTTGTGCTCTGATACAGACTACCCAACCCACAGGGCCAGGTTGCAGCAGGCAGCCTGATCGATCGAAATAAATACAAGCCGGCAAAGCCGGCGGTCGCAGCCGTGCTCTAGAGAGATATCGCAGTCTCAGGTGAGCTTCCAGGTTGAGCCGGTGCAGAGTGTGCCGGAGCAGCCGGCGCCGAAGAATAATCGTATCCCCAAGTGCCCCACGCCCCGTATTCGAACTCCTCGGCCTCGGCGGCAACCTCGTCTTGTGCCTCATCCGCCCTCTGCATCGAGTCTGCCGAATTGTCGCTCTCCGCTGCCGGTGCTGGCGTGTCTCCTAGGTAGCTGTTGAGAGCTTGCACAAACTCATCGAGTGAATGCACGACGACAAACACAGCACCCGCCCGAACCAACCGTGTGCGCCACTCCTGTTGGCGCGGTTGCAGCCGAGCACCGGGTACTTTCACCTCGACTGCCAAGCCGATCTCGTTGAAGGCTCCTCGCCAGTGCACGAAAACATCTGGGTAGCCGCTCGAGCTCCCGGTTGTTCGGAGTGCGTTCCATCGTATGGCGCCAAGGCGACCGCCGCCAAGGAAGGCGCCATTGACAGAACCCACAAAGGGCATGTCAGGCCGGTGTTCGCGCAAAAAGTGAGCGATTGCCTTCTGTATCTCATGCTCGCGGCGATGCCGAGAACGCGTCATGTTGAGCACGGCGCGACTGTTATGACTTTACGTACAAAAAAGTTTGTTTTAGAATCGCGAGTGTTCAGTGAGATCAATCGAATAAGTACACTATAGTCCCGGTGACCACCCGCAATCATTCGAGGCGATTTGCAACGCTTTTACTGCATTTTTTGAAAAAACCCACCCTATATGAGATACCAAGCTTGGGTATTTCAATTGCGGCTGTAAGGTCACTGTAAGGTCAATTGAAATACCTGGCTGGGGTATATCGATTCGGGGCGGATATTTTTCACTATAATAGTTTTCCTTAACTTATTTCGCCCCCCTTTGCCCCCCCAACCAGTAGAGGTTGAAACACAACTTTTTTGCTTTATGAGGTGCAATATGAGGTGTGGATGGAGCGCTAATGAGTCACTAGGAGCGCCGTTCGAGGGGGCCGATAGGCGTGACACGGCTCAAATTTGGGTTAAAAACTTCGTATTTTTGGCCTTGAAATGGCAAATTTTTCTTCGGGGGGGCTCTGCCCCCCCGAACCCCCCCGCTGGGGGGGGCAAAGCCCCCCCCAGACCCCCCCCCTACCTACACTGGAGTGGGGTGGTTTACAGGGTTGAGAAGATATACGCTCTAGGAATCGACCCTATCCAGTGCTCAAGTGCTCAAAAGACCTGCAAAGCCCTGGGAGCCCTCCCCTTACTATTTTGCGTGCCGCGCCGCGCGCGCGCGCGCCGCGCCTATACCGGAAACTCGAGCGAGCCCAAACAGGGCCGTGCCGCTCTCTCCACCGTGATGCTCCTCGCCATCACGGCAGGCACCCCGAGCTCGCAACGCCCTTCACGACTGGGAGGGCCAGGGAGCGCACGTGCTTCGATCGCCGGGGGCACCATGGAGGGTGCGCCTGCGCCACGGAAGCACTCCGGGCGGCGTATGCGATGTGGGGGGAGGGCCGGGGAGATGCTGCCTCGGCCATGTTTCTGGACTTTGCAAGACCAAAGGTACTGCCGCCAAGGGAAGCGCGGCCACCATTGGTCCAGTCGGGGCTGGGCAAATCGATGCCAAGCTTGTCAACGTTCCGTGCGTGACTGTCTGACTTTGGAGGCGAGCGCTGATGTGCGGCTCGCTCTGCAGCCTCCCGGTTCGATTCCACATAAATCCGAGACGGTGATGGATGCGTCGTGCGGTGGTCTCATGCCCAGTGAGGTAGTGCATCTGGCCACTCCTGATCCTGCTGAACAAGCTCCTCTTGTAGCTCGATCGGTCACACCGCCATCGCCGTCGGGGAGAGGGGGGACGACACTGCCTCGGTCGGCAGCGTGCACCTCGATCCTGTACCGTGTTTGTTATGACCCCCCCCCCCCCATGAACACACCAGTGAGGGAGGGCGAGACGATCGAGGGGTCCCGTACCATGCGGAATCGACCCTATCCAGTGCTCAAGTGCTCAAGAGGAGTGTGCGGGGCTAGCCGTCGCCCACCCTTGGCGTCTGCCTCTTCCTATCTCTCTTCGCAGCCTTGTTATTGAGAAGAAAATGGCGAGACGATCGTGGGGTCCCGTACCACGCGGAATCGACCCTATCCAGTGCTCAAGTGCTCAAGAAGAAAATACCGCAGTCCCTCCCCGATTTCAGGATGGCTGTGAAATAGGGAGCAAGCTGCCTGGACGGAGGCAAGGCCAAGTGTCTCGCCCAAAGAGATCGAGGGACATGTCGTCACTTTGCGACGAGGTGCTAAGCACCGACGAGCTCCTAGGCGTCATCCTCGGCACGCTCCTGCGCGAGGATGCGCTGCGCCGCTGCAAGTGCGCTCGCCTCGTGTGCAAGCGCTGGAAGGATGAGCTGGCACGCGCCGCAAAGACGCCGCCGCGTGGCTGGAAGAGCTTCACCAAGAACTGCGTCTACCTGCGTGGCCGGGTGGAGTCACTGCCGGATGAGGCCGAGGCCGACCCGGGTTCGCGGTGGATGCGGGCCATCTACGAGCAGGGGCTGAACGGCCTGCTCGACAGCCGCTTGCCGCATGTGCATGTGCATGCGTCCTGCGCCGCGCTCGTGGCGCACCACAAGGCGATGCGCCTGAGGGGGCTCTACGTCGTGCTGGCCCCCGCCGAGGCTCACCAATGCTGGCTCGCGGCATTCGCGCGCGACGGCATCTCGGCATTCGCCAACGGCGGCCGGCCCGAGCAGCGCTACGCAGGATTTGCCAGTCTCGGGCACCGGGTTGCCCAAGGACAGTCGATCGAGGTCGTCGTCTCCACGTACTCCATGGCCGCCACCGACATATGGTTCATCCTGCAGTTCCGCCCAAAGTACGTCTTTTTCGAGGGCGGCCTCAGCCAGCCCAAGCAGTACGCGTCGAGGCTCGCACCGCTGCTCCTCGCCTCGCCGCACCTCGCAGAGCCGCCGAACGGCGTCCTGATTGACGACGCCAGCCTGCTGCAGCACCACTCCAGGAGCATGGAGCTCATCCGCTTCAGCATGGATCGGTTCATCAAAATCTAGCAGCAGGAGGAGGAGAGGCGCGGTGAGGCGAGAGCGGGGGGCGGCTCGGACGCAACCTCCGAGTCGGACTCGGTCGCCTCGGAGGAGGAGGACACGGAGCAAGCCGTGGCCGCCGCGCCGTCGCGGCCGCCCTTGTTTGACTCGCCGACGGAGTTCGGCGCTGGAGCGCTCCTGTCGCTCCTGCAGGGCGGCCGCGTCTCGAGTCTCTTGAGGCTGCTTGGGTGGGCGGTGTACACGGAGCGAGGCGTGTGAAGAAGGCCGTGGCGGCGCCGCCGGCTTAGGCTGTGGCGGCGCCGGTGGCGAAGCCGGCGTCGGCGCCAGCGACGTGTTCAAACGACAAAACCGCGCGTCGCTTTTCCGAACGCCGCTGTGCCATAGCCTGGAAACCATTTTCTGAGCAGCTCGGAGCTCGACGTCGAGCTCTGGGGTGGGCAGGGCCAGGGGCTTTACCGTAGCTGCCCCGTTTTGGTCTCGAGTTTGGATCTCACACGTGCGACCGCTGGAAACAAGTCAAGAGTCTAGACATCACGCCCTCCACGCGGCTCTATAGAAGTAGAACGCCCGAGCAAGAAAAAAGCAAAAGAAAAAGGAATCGCGCCGCCCGCGCGGTCGCCCAACGCCCAACCACGCCAGGGCCCCGTCGAGATCGTCGTCGCCGCGACATCGAGACCTCCGGTGATCTCGGGTGATCTCGGGTGATCTCCGGTGATCTCCGGCGGGTCGGGCGGCGTCGATCTCCGAGAGGGAGTCGAGTCTAGCGTTCCTCAAGATGACGCACTACTCAACTCAACCCTACGCCCGCATCGATGTGGGAGGCAAGGCCACCCGTCGATGCGACCTGCTACCAAGCGGTGGGGCAGGAGATTGGAGGGGCCCCTTGCAGAGGTGGCGCGAACAGCTTCAGCTTTTCTCGCCCGCTCTGCTGAGGGCGAGGCGCCGAGCTTCGGTTCCAAGCTTCCAACGCTGCAGCACTCTCCCTCTATTCACAGCAGAGAGGCGACGCGTCCTCACGCGCGTCCTCGTCCCCACCTGCTCTGCTTCAACGTGCTGCCATGGACCAGCGCGCCTCGCGCCATGATTCAATCGCCCCCACCCGCCCTCTTCCTGGCGATATTCATGGCTCAGAGCTGATTGAGCTCTCTTGTTCATGGATCTCGGTGGAGAGACGACTTGAGGAGACGACTAGTCTCACTCCCCCGCTTTCGTCACGCAGCGTGTTCTGTTCATGTGTGTCGTGATGCTTCGCCAGCGCTCACCCACAGACTTTGCGCAAGCCACGGCTCGCAGCACCCGCGCCACATGGCCCGCCCGCCTTGTCACACGAGCACCTCGCCAGCACACACTCCCGCCCGCACCGCACCAGCGCCCCTGTCACCTGATCTCGACTTGCCGCGTGCCGCGCAGGACGAGGAGGACGCGACATATGACCAACACGGTCGCCGCGACGCTCGCGCTCATTGCGCTCGTCGTCGGTCCCGCGCGTGCTGTTCAGCCGCAACGGATGATTATGCACGAAGGGCTGCTGCTGGGCAAGCTGAGCGCCCTGCCACCATGGCTGTCGGCGCTCGGCGTCTCCCTGGTCGGTCACGAAAAGGCGCAGCACATGGTGCGGAGCATGTCAAAGGTGACGGCCATCAGCACGCTGGGCGTCACGGTGAATGTGACGGCTCTTGCCAAGGACGACACCATCGGGCGCCTCCAGAAAGAGTTTGCAAACCGCCGTGACGCTTGGGGACGCGATTGTGGGGAATGTGACGACTATGGACTTCGCCATCTCACCTCGCCCATGCCTCTCATCCTTGACGTCGGCGGAAACATTGGCTTCATCTCCTCTCTCATCGCACGTGTGCACCCCCAGTCGCAAGTCATCGCCTTCGAGCCCTCACCAGTCACCTACTTCATCCTCCGCATCAACTTCTGGCTCAACGGCGTCCATGTGCTAACAACGGAAGAGCTCCAGGGGCGCCCGAAGATCGGAGGCGTATACCCAGTCTTTGGCGGGTTGGGAGCCAGTCGGGCGCCGTTCGAGTGGCTCGAGGTGGCAGGCAATGCGCTCGCTCAGAGCCAGAACGTGAACATCAGCTTCGGCAAGTCAGGCGAGGTGCCCGTCTACCATTGGGAGAGTTTCATGGAGTTGCATGGCCTCACGTCTCGTACCTTCGACTTGGTCAAACTCGATTGTGAATGCTGCGAGTATTTCCTGGTGCCGCAGGTTAGCAAGTGGATCACGAACAGATCATTGGTCAAGCGCCTCGCAGGCGAGTTGCATGGCCCATGCCATGCGGTCGGCGAGACGGAAACGCTGTCTCTCCTCCGCTCCCGAGGGTGCCAATTCCATTCTCGGAATTTCCTTGCAACGGACAAGGAGAGGATCGCGATGGCGAGACTTGAGAAACAGATCAACAGGCTTGAGAAACATGCTCATGAGCTTCCGACGGGCGCAACGGCGCAAGGAAGGGACACACGGGAGAGGTTGGCGGAGTTCCAGCGACGGGTGGCCACGGGAAATTTCCATGGGACGGCGGATCTCGCCCTATTTTGCCATGGGGACACTGGCTACTTGCCCCCTCCTTAAAGTCGAGCTTCACAGGATGCCTCATCCGGGTGAGCGGCGCTGCAAAGTGCTCGGCAGGAGCATGTGTGTTAAGCACACTCCCTTCGGAGCGCGCTGTGGTGCGCTACAGTACTCTGGTGCCTCTGGGCGCAATGGGGCCTTTATTTATGGGGGGAGGGGGGGGAAGAGCCCGGACGCCCGTGTGTGCACGGACACACATGCACACCCACACCCGCACATTATGCCTGTGCCCACACAACTCAAGCCGTCGTGAACCCTCTTGGTCGTGGGCGGGCTGCACGGGAGGCTGGAAGGAATGCCAGTGTGTGCCGGCACCAACTTGATTCCCGGATCGGCGTCTCCCCCTCCCCCTATGTGCCGCCACCCCCCTCCAATCCGTAATTCCGTAAAATCGCGCGAAAAGCGCCCTAATCGAGCTGAAGAGCGGCCCCCAGCCGCATGGGAGCGTGCCCCAGCTAGCAGGAGGCGTTAGACGTACTTTTCGGAAGGACTTTCGGCCGACGTCCGTTCCCTTGGACACGTCGACAAATGGCACCGACGCAGCTCAGCATTGTGCTGGAGCGCCTGCTCAACGAACTCGGAATAGCCAACCTCAGTATGTTCGAGGCTGTGCTCATGCACGATACAGGCGCGGTGCTCGACGCGATCCGAAGCACCGCTGCAGCCGCAGAGGCTGGTGCGGCGGTTTATGCCAGCTCGGCCACGAGCAATGTTGTTGTGTGCCGAAGCAGCACTGCTACCGCTGGCGCAATCTCTGTTCAGCACGAGGGCAGCATCTCCCGCACTCTCGTCAGCACAGACGCGCAAACCACGCTAAAGGGCTGCCTCGGGTGGTGTTGCCTTATTTCGAGTGGAGGACCTTGGGGGCGATTTGTGGGGGTTGCAATTCGAGGAGGCGACACGCATGTGCCGCTCAGCTTACCACGTGAGCAAGTGTGGCCCTCTGCTCTTGCGGATCAACCAGACGCTCACCCCTACGACCATGCTCACCTTTGCAGACACGCCAGGGATTTGGGGATGGGGCTCGCCCGCAAGCCATGCATTCTCTTGCGCTGGAAGCTGCTCCCCCCCCTCGGCCAACCGCGCGTTCAACGCATGCACCCCGCCAAGCTCCAATCATCGGCATGGATGATGCAAACGACACCACCAAAACTCCCCGACTACGACACGCCCCGCAATTTTTCGAACCCTCTAACAGGGTTTGAGACTATCATGCTTCCGGGCGAGCGATTCGTAGTCGAAGGCGTCACGTGGCACGAAGCAGCCGCCCAAAATTACACGACGGTCACGTTGCGCCAACAAGCATGCTTCCACGGCAAGATGGCATAAGACCGTCAGGAGGTGCCTCGAGACGGGAGGCGAAGCCGCAGCCCCGCCCAGCCGCCCTCGAAGAGGCGGTGAGCAGCGAGTCGACCGGCGGCGGCGGGGACCTGCTGCGGCGTGTCGAGATCGGCTGGAGGCCAGCCTCGGCGCGGCGATCGAGGGTAGCCTCGAGGAGCGGGTCGGCGCCATCGAGCGCTTGATCGAGTCAGAGGCAGGAGAGGCGCCGGAACTGCCAGACACCGAGGCGCTTGCAGCCATCTCACTAGCGGACGCCGGCCTCGACACGGGGCGGCCGGCTGCCCCCGAGTCCACGAGGATACATTGGCTTGCCAATATGCATCCAAAGTTCCACGCAGCTCCTCGTTCGTCACGTCTATCCTTTCGCAGTATCTCGCGAATGCCGTCCGCGGCGCTTGCTGGGGTGTTATTGCGTTCGGATCCGCCTTCGTTCCCGCCGTGTACCCCAGCGCCTTGCGGTGGCTCCTGTATGAGTCCCATATGACCATGTAAATAATAAATAAAACGGACGCATCCTAGGAGATGGGTAAAAAGGAACAGGTCCCCGCCCGTGCGATCTTTGTGCAGGATTCTTTGTTATGACCATGTGATTTCTTTGCCTTCCCTTGACTTTTTCTCTCGGTCTGCAAACAGCCTGAGGACCATCACCTGTGTGCGGCCGCCTTGCCTAATTGTATCTCCTCGTAGCGTACGAAGTGTGCGTCGCGCCCGTGTGCCTTGCGTCTCAAACGGTTTTCGTTTTGAAATAAGCTCGTCAGGTCGTAAAGGAGTAGTCCGAGCAGTCTCTCCGTTCTTTTATGTCTTGTGTGAGCTGCCTCTGCGAGTCACAACGCGAAAACAAGACACAAGCCGACACGCCGCACAGACATAGCGACTCTCTACTGTGCCCTTCACGACGACTCGGGCACAGCAGGCGCACCCTCCGCTGGCGGCGCGTCATCATCCGCCTGGGTCGATGGCGGCGCAAGCTCCGCCGACGAAGCCTCGGGCGGCGGTATTGCTGCGAGCGGCGCTGCTGCGGGCGGTGCAGGCTCCTCTGCCGGTGCGGGCGGCTCGGTCGGCGACGGCTCGGTCGGCGGCGGCTCGGTCGTTGACACTGGCGCTGGCGGCGGGTCCGCTGGCGGCGGGTCCGCTGGCGGCGGGTCCGCTGGCGGCGGGTCCGCGGGTGGCGGGTCCGCGGGTGGCGGGTCCGCGGGCGGCGGGTCTGCGGGCGGCGGCGCTGCGGGCAGCGGGGCTGCGGGCGGAGGCGCGGGCGGAGGCGCCGCCACCACTGCCGCCGGCGCGCCCCTGGTGTGCTCGATCTTTTTCACCTTGACTTCGCCGCCGACCAGCTCGTAGACGTAGATGACGGCCTGGGGGGGCGGCGCCGGGGTCTTCTCGCGCGAGGCGTGTGCACAGCAAGGGCCGGGGGGAGCGGGGGCGTCCGCGCCTGCGCGCCCTGCAAGTCCATCAGCACAAATGAGGGAGTCGCAGTTTCGCCCAGACCGAGCGTGGGGGTGAAGGCCCCTGGTGAGAGGTTGGGTGGGGTGTGCAGGTGCGCCGCGCCGCGCGCGAGGCCTGGTCGGACCGGGGGGGGGGGGGGGGGCAGCGTCCAGCACGCACCGGTCGCAGACCCGGGGTTGATAAAGAGCTTGCCCTCGTACCTGAATTGCGCACTCGCGCTGTGAGAACAGCCCGCGACAGCCAGGCGGGGCGGAGCGCTCGCACTCGTAGGTGGCAAAGCGATGGGTGTGGCCCGAGATGAGGACATCGGCGTCGAGCTGGCGCTGCATGGCCCCGAGCGACTCCGCGTCGCCCCAGGGCACGAGCTGGTGACCGTGGACGACTCCAACCTTGAAGTCCCCGACAGTGACCAGCTTGGTCTCTGGCAGCGAGTCGGCGACCCCGGGCAGCGAGACGGCGTCATCAAAGTCGCCACGCACGCAGTGCACCTCCGAGGCGAGCGTGCGCAGGTAGTCGAGCGTCGGCTTGTCTGCGATGTTGCCCGTGCACAGGATGCACGAAATCTTGCCGGGCACGAGCAGCGCCTTGAACTTGTCGGGCAGCTTGGGCGCGCGGTGCGGGATGTGCAGGTCGCCGAGCACGAGCACGAGCACCTGGGACGAATTGGGGCGGTGAGCGATGGGGGCCATGGGCCGGCAAACGGGCCAAAGTCACCATATCTGGCGCGCTCCGCGTTCCCAGCTGGCCTTTGCAGCACTTGCAGCACCTGCCGGCACAAGACTCTCGATCCTATCACCCCGCCCCCGCCCCCGCCCCCGCCGCCGGCGTGGCCGTCACCACTCCGACCTACGCGGAGCCTGGGGGGCCCGGAACCGCCCAGTCGGAGGCTAGGGTACCCGGGGGAGGGGCCCGAGGGGGGGATGGTGCCGTGGGGAGACATCGATCGGTGTCAGCCCGCCGACCGCAAGGCCGGGATCGGAGGGCCCCGGGTGAGGCCTGGAGTCAACTGTCGGAGGAGGTGAGAGTCGAGCTGACTCGGCCTCTGCGAGTGGAGTCGGGTCGTGCGAGCCCACCGGGGGTAGACCCGTCGCGGCGTCGGCTGGACCGCCGTGATTTTACGACAAGAGGGACCGCGCCTTCCCGAGCTTAGTGAGTGAGGAGCAGGGGAGGGCGAGCCGAGAACGATAGAGAGGCCACGGGTGCGGGCGCGACTCGCTGACCAGGGAGAGCCGGCCCGACCTCCCGTAGAGGGGTGGCGACGAGACATGATGCCGCCGCCCTCACCCGGGGAGTCGGGCTCGAGATCGCCGGAGGCGGAGTCAACAGGATCAAGCAGAGAAGACGAGACGGCGGCGGGGCCGCAGCCGAAAAAGGCTAGTAGGGGAGGTCGGGCCCCGCGCCCGCCGTACAACCATCGAGATGGAGCCGAGCAGGAGGGCCCGGCGCACAACCCCTTGTTCAAGAGTTCAACTCACCCTCCACACCCCGTAGGCCGTAGCACTAGCCCTAGAGCCGTAGCCGTCGTGTAGCAAGCTTAATCCCGCCTTAAAGAGGTACGAGATATTTATACAGGAGAGGCTAGTGCCATTTCACTCTGACACGCTAATCTTGAAAACGTCTCCAACGGAGCTCCGTGTTGCCTCCAGCGCCCTCCCCCGCGCTCCCTGCGGCCATGGCCGATGATCCTAGGAAGAGAGGTCATCTGGCTACCGCGAGAGCGACCAAACTCGTCGACATCGTCCGATGATGGTGCCGCAAAGTCAGCCTTCGGAGGCTATCGTGGGGTCGAGCCGGCAGTAGCCGTGACATGTGGTTCCACCACCCCTCGTAGGCTTTGCCTCTGACCGCCACCGTTCCCAGACTGCCTAATGGGATGGAAAGGAAGGCTCGGCGAGCGTATAGAAGCGTGCTCGACCTCGTCGTGGCAGCCTGCATGGCAGCGCTGGCGGGCGAGATGAGCGTCATGCCACCTGACCCGAGACGGGTCGCAGGCGTCGTACCGAGCGCGTCGAGACCGTGTCCTGATGTGATCTGCACGGGTGAGTCACGTCGGCGTCAAAGGAGCGACGTGCGACCTGTCAGAGCTTGATCTCCGATCTCAGCGGCGTCGAGTCGTCTCCGGCGCGCGACAAAGGTACATCCACAGGACGCGCAGAGGCAGCTGAGATCGGTGATCGGGCTCTGACAGGTCGCACGTCGCTCCTTTGACGCCGACGTGACTCACCCGTGCAGATCACATCAGGACACGGTCTCGACGCGCTCGGTACGACGCCTGCGACCCGTCTCGGGTCAGGTGGCATGACGCTCATCTCGCCCGCCAGCGCTGCCATGCAGGCTGCCACGACGAGGTCGAGCACGCTTCTATACGCTCGCCGAGCCTTCCTTTCCATCCCATTAGGCAGTCTGGGAACGGTGGCGGTCAGAGGCAAAGCCTACGAGGGGT